ACAAAAATTAGCCGGTTGTGGTGGCACATGCCTGTAATCCCAGCTACTCAGGAGGCTGAGGCAGGATAATCCCTTGAACCCGGGAGGCGAAGGTTGTGGTAAGCAGATCCCGCCACTGCACTCCAGCCTGGGCGACAGAGTGAGACTCCATCTAAGAAAAAAAAAAATCTAATTTTTATACACATCCATTTGGGACTTTTCACATCGTGTGCACGTCCATAAATCCACACACTGTATTTTTGCACAAACTTGGGTTTCAGGGGCTCCAGGATTCTCTTATAGATGACTGTTCAACTTGTTTTTACATGAAAACACAAATGTTTTATTTTTCCCTGCATGAGAAGTAACAACCCACCATAAAGCAAGGGGCACCCCCTCACCCCCCTCACCCGCCCCCCCACCCACCAAGCCGTCCTTGCTCAGCGGGAGAGAGGAACCCTTTGCGGGGAGCAGGTGAGAGTGCTAAGATTTGGGTTCTGGTTTTGAGGAGTTATCTAAAGGTTAGTTTTAAAAGAAGAAGCAAAGGGGACTTTCTCATGGAGGAATGTAAGCATATGAGACAGAAGGTGATGAATCAGGAATCCTTGGACTGGTTCAACAAAAGTGTGGGTCCTGATCCAGGATGCTTGTCCCAAAAGGGGCCCCACATCCTTGATTAAGAAGGAAAGAGTGAGACCACTGTGAAGGGCGATAGTCAAGGATGTGGGGCAGAGGGAGTCTTTGAATCTGTGGCCCGCCAGGGGCTGGCTGTCCAGCTTTGATGTGAGCAAGAGCCCCTCTGAGGAGCCACCTGCTAGTTCCCTTCACAGAGGCTCAAAGACAGGAGCGCCTGATCTGCCGCCTGCCTGGGAGACAGATCTGTCGCAGGCCAACTAGGGCACCCAACCCAGGGCCAGACAAATCCCAGAAAGTCCCTGGCAAGCTAGGGGATGACCTCCTACCCCTTTGCTTGAGCACGCTGGAAGCCAGCAGCTGAGACTCCCTATTCCCTATTTCTGTTTACCTTCTCTGCAGCTGGGAACAAAGGAAAAAAATTTGGGAGTGACAGGCATGTGCTCACACACTCAAAGACACACTTGTTTATACCTGTTTGTTTACTATTTAAGCAGATTCTTGCTTAGCAATAACTGGGCTTATCTCCTTGTCTTTTTTCTTTATTTTTATTTATTTATTATTATTTTTTTAAAGATGGGGTTTCACCATGATGGCCAGGCTGGTCTTGAACTCCTGACCTCAGGTGATCCACCCACCTCGGCCTCCCAAAGTGCTAGGATTACAGGCGTGAGCCACCGCGCCCAGCCATCTCCTTGTCTTAAGGAAACTGTTAGGCCAGGCGTGATGGCTCACTCCTGTAATCCCAGCACGAGGTCAAGAGATCCAGACCATCCTGGCCAACACGGTGAAACCCCGCCTCTTAAAAAAAAAAAAAAAAGGGAAACTGTTAAGAGTGTTATTATAATGTAGTAGAACTTAAATGTCTCTTGAATGGTGAAGCACTAATGTGTTATACTACTCTAAATGTAGAAATGCACGTTTACAAGTAAGACTATCATCCTCTTTCCGCATTTCATCTTAACATTCAGTCTGCTGGCAACACTCAAGAACTTCATAAAAGATCACCATCTTGCACTTAAGTTCTACAGATAATGTTGAAATCCTGCACAAGATTTAGGAATCTCAGGCAATGACATGCCATAACATTGCTATTAGGAAATGTGTAATATACTCTTCTGTCATTATCAGTGGAAAGTCAAAAAAACAAACCCTAGTGTTAAAAGCATACTGTTAATTAAGGAATTTAAGAGCTGCAATCGACCTACGAAATCCTGGCACCTCACCATTTTTAATTTCTTATAATCATGATGTAAAATACAACACTTTCACTGTAGAAAATTTGGAAATATACAGAAGATATTTAAAAACAGGAAAAAAAAAATCACCCACAATTGTACCACCTAGAAGAGGCCACCATTTTTTTTTAACAATTTGCCATATGTAAAACGTTTGTTATACGTATTTTTTTCTTTTTCTTGCTACAAAAAAATTGTGATTGCCAGGTGCAGTGGTTCACGCCTGTAGCCTCAGCGCTCTGGGAGGCTGAGGCGGGCGGATCACCTGAAGTCGGAAGTTTGAGACCAACCTAACCAACATGGAGAAACCCTATCTCTACTAAAAATACAAAATTAGTTTGGGCATGGTGGCACATGCCTGTAATTCCAGCTACTTGGGAGGCTGAGGCAGGAGAATTGCTTGAACCCAGGAAGCAGAGGTTGCGGTGAGCCGAGATTGCACCACTGCCCTTTAGCATGGGCAATAAGAGCAAAACACCATCTCAAAAAAAAAAAAAAAAAAAAATTGAGATCATAGTTTGTATCTTTCACCTTTATTTAACATTATATAGTGATAATTTTGTTTTTTATTAAAAACTTTTTGAATATGGAATTTTTATTGATTACATAAAATATGGTAGTATGGCATAGAGTCATATTTGTAACCATCATCATATTATTGAACGTGTAATTGCTTTAAAAAATATTACTTTTAGATCTGCTAAATACTTTTGTACATAAATGTTTGTCCCACTTTTAAGTTGTTTCTGTAGAAATTGTTGCCAAATTGTGTTCCAGCCGGGTGCGGTGGTTCACACCTGTAATCCCAGTACTTTGGGTCGAGGTGGGTGGATTGCTTGAGGTCAGGAGTTCAAGATCAGCCTGATCAACATGGTGAAACCTATCTCTACTAAAAATACAAAAGCTTAGCTAGGCGTGGTGGCAGGTGCCTGTAATCCCAGCTGCTTGGGAGGTTGAGGCAGGAGAATTGCTTGAACCCAGAAGGCAGAGGTTTCAGTGAGCAGAGATCTCACCACTGTACTCCAGCCTGTGCAACAGAGGCAGACTCCATCTCAAAAAAACAAAACAAAACAAAAAAATATACAAAAAATTGTTTTCCAGAAAAGTTATAACAATTTTTATCAACAACATGAGAGTGTCTATTTCAGTGTACCTTTCTAGAATCAGAGTATTACCATTTTTAATAATGGTAATGGGTAATAGAAAATAATGTTATTTTAAGAAACAACTCTAAAGCTTTATTTTCTTTTTTTTTCTTTTTCTTTTTTTTTTTTTTTTTTTTTGAGACGGACTCTCACTCTGTCTCCAGGCTGGAGTGCAGTGGCGCGATCTCAGCTCACTGCAACCTCCGATTCCCTGGTTCAAGCAATTCTCCTGCCTCAGCCTCCCGAGTAGCTGGGATTACAGGCATGCGCCACCACCCCCAACTAATTTTTGTATTTTTAGTAGGGACGGAGTTTCGCTATGTTGGCCAGAATGGTCTTGTTGGCAGGTTTTGGGGTGCAGGGGAGCGCTCAGCTTTCTCCCCGGTGGGCTCCAGGCTGTTGGTCCCTCGCTCTCTCAAGAATGGGAGAGGGGACCACGGCTGAGTGCTCATAAATACCGGACCCAAAACCTGTTTGCAGAAAGTGATTTATTTAGGTAAAGAGAGAAACAGGAGAAAAAGAAAGAAACGGCCAGCTCTCACACTGAGGGAGGGTTTCCAGAAGGGGAAAACAGAAGGAAAGCTCCTCTCACACGGAGAGAATCCAGAAAGATGGAATCCAGGTGAGGAAAGCAGCTACCACACTGAGTGGAAGGGAACAGAGAGAGATGGAGTTCAGGAGGAGAAGACAGGCTGCCACGAGAGTGTGGAAGGGGACCCCAGAGGGGAAATCCGCCCGGATGAGAGAGACAAGGACTTTTTAAAAAATATATTTTATTTTTTTAAAAGATAAAGATAGGGTTTAACCATGTTGGTGAGGCTGGTCTTGAACTCCCAACCTCAGGTGATCCGCCCGCCTTGGCCTCCAAAGTGCTTGGATTACAGGCGTGAGCCACTACGCCCGGCTGAGACAAGGACTTTTAACCTGGGAAGAATTCCCACCTTCTCCAAGCCCCGCCCCCCGCCCCCACCAATGAAAAGTGTTTCTTTAAACTTCAGCTGGAGTGATTGACTTGTGATCTTTTCCTGTGGCTGCGAAAATTAAACAGAAACCGTTAAATCTCCAGGATGGAGAGGCATGGGAGGGGCCTGGCGCTGGGAAGTTCTTGCCTTCAAAACTACGTCCCCTGTGGACCCAGAAAGAGAACACATTCCCTCGGTCTCAATCTCCTGACCTCCTGTTCCACCTGCCTCAGTCTCCCGAGGTGCTGGGATTACAGGCGTGAGCCACAGTGCCTGGCCTTAAAGCTTCATTTTTAGGAGACTGAGATTTTAGAAGCTGCTCCTTTAATTCTTATGACTTAGAGTCAGATTAGACACAAAATAAATGTCATGAAAATGCTACTACTATTCTTTGAAGACTTTATAGTTTGTAGATGCTGAGAATGTGGTGAAATGGTAAACTCTGCATAGCCTTAACTTACAGAGTTCTAGAGTTTTAGGCTAAGGAGCTGGTCACCACTGAGCATCTAGCACAACTGACTGGGCTTCTCGGACTGTTTCTGGAAGCACTGACTGTGTCAATCAGGAGAGGGGAAAACGTATCTGCTTGTTCCTAAGCTCATTGGTCAAAGATTTGCCCCATGGACTTCTATTTCTCTGAACTTACTTTGGGTTTCTCAAGTGTGGGGGACCGGGGTCCTGTGAGGTGGGCTGCCATGGGGTGCTGGCAGGGTCCACAGACAGCTGGTCTCTGCTGGTAACAGCTGGACAGCAGGGTGGAGCAAGCGTCTAAGGGTGTCCAAAGGTTTGGAGTGGTACGTACAAGGTGTCTACACAAGTAACAAGGTAAGTAGAGTTAACTGGGCCTTCAATACAGAGGTTGACGGAAACACAACTGCAAATGAACCTGATTCAATTCATCACGCAGTAACTCCTCCAGAGGAATGCCAAATTCTGTGCTGTTTTGAACACCCTGCTGACACATTGCTCTAGTCCAATGGTTCCAGAACTTTTTGAGCTTAGGATCCCATTACACTCTTAAAAATTATTAAGGACCAGTCGGAAGGTGCCGAGCCTGAGGCGGACAATGGCAGAGCTGGGTGAAGCCGATGAAGCGGAATTGCAACCCTTGGTGGCTGCCGAACAGCAGAAGGCGCAGTTTACTGCACAGGTGCATCATTTCATGGAACTATGTTGGGGTAAGTGTGTAGAGAAGCCAGGGAATCACCTAGATTCTTGCACTGAAAACTCTCTCTCCAGCTGTGTAGACCGCTTCATTGACACCACTCTTGCCATCACCAGTCGGTTTGCCCAGACTGTACAGAAAGGAGGGCAGTAGGCCATCCCCCAGGAAAATGACAGAAGCAAAGGACTCGTTATTAAGCAGACTGAAGGGCCAGTAGGGGAAGGTTGTCAGCTCATTGTCAGATCAGCATCAGGCTGTTATCAAGTCTGTTGGTGCTAAAAAGTAAAAGATGAAATGTTCAAAGAGTGAAATTTATTTATTTGGAATTCAGAAATTCCAGGCTGTATCACATCAGTTGTTCAATAAATGTGAATTCTCCAACTAAAAAAAAAAGTTATATTATTAAAGACCTCAGACGAATTCATGTGTGTGAAGTGAGGGGACAGAAAGGAAGTGCATATATCATATTAAAAATCATATTAAAGATCATATTTATATCTATATATTAAAATTATCTATCATATTAAAAATTAAAATAGAGAAAAATTAAACAATATTTATAAATGGAAAAATGGCCATTATGTTTTTTTTTCTTTTTTTAATTTTTTTTGTTTGTTTTTTAAAGATGGGGTTTCACCATATTGGTCAGGCTGGTCTCGAACTCCTGACCTCAGGTGATCTGCCCACCTCAGCCTCCCAAAGTGCTGGGATTACAGGCGTGAGCCACTGCGCCCAGCGAAAAATGGCCATTATAAACCAACTACATGTTAACAGAAATAATATGTGTTATGCAAAATAACTGTATTTCCCAAAATAAAAGTTAGTGTCATCAGTAGCATTGGTTTACATTTTGCAAATTTCTTGAATATCTGGTTTAATAGCAATAATGGAATTTCTTTTTTTGAGATGTTGTTTTGCTCTGTCACCAAGGCTGGAGTGCAGTGGTGTGATCTGGGCTCACCGTGACCTCTGTCTCCTGGGTTCATGCGATTCTCTTGCCTCAGCCTCCCAAGTAGCTAGGATTTACAGATGTGCACCACCATGCTCAGTTAATTTGTTTGTATTTTTGTATATTTTTTTTATTTTAGTAGAGATGGGGTTTCACCGTGTTGGCCAGGCTGGTCTTGAACTCTTGATCTTGAGTGATCTGCCCACCTCAGCCTCCCAAAGTGCTGGGATTATATGCCTGAGCCATCGCATCCAGTCACAGATGATGGAATTCTTATTTCTGCTTGCACGTTTGACCTGTCACAGTATGTTTTGTTTGAGGTAGTTGGAGAAAGTCCAGCATCCCCCAGGTATGCAATTGAAAAAGGGGGACTTCGTGGTGCCCCTGAAGTCCACAGACCACACTTTGGGAACTGCTGCTCAAGCCTAAGTTGCAAGTTTTTCAATTATGTGAACAATGCTCTAACAGAAACCAAACAGACTAAATTGTTTAGAAAAGCGTTTCCTAGGAGTTGCTATAAACCAAATGACTCATTTAAACGTTTTTATTACTTTGACAAATACTTCAGCTCTGCAGCCTGTTTCTTTTTAAACCAAAGGCTCTTGCCTCATTATATAGCTGTAGTCTGCACAGCTCTGGCCACCAGGTGGCTCCCACCCCCAGCCTTTTCTAGAAGGAACCGCCTTTTCCGGATGGTTCATTCCTACATAGAGCCCTAGCTTCTCAGGGCGCTCGCTCCGGGAAACTTAGCTTTGTTCAACAGAAGAACAGAGTCAGTGGCAGGAGGCCCAGGCAGGCGAATCACCTGAGGTCAGGAGTTCGAGACCAGCTTGGTCAACGTGGCAAGACCCTGTCTCTACTAAAAATACAAAAATTAGCCGGGCATAATGGTGGGCACCTATAATCCCAGCTACTCGGGAGACTGAGGCAGGAGAATTGCTTGAACTTGGAAGGCAGAGGTTGCAGTGAGCTGAGATGGTGCCACTGCACTCCAGCCTGGGCAACAGAGCAAGACTCTATCTCAAAAAAAAAAAAAAGAAAGAAAAGAAAAAGAAAGAAAAGAGTCAGTAAAGAGAGGATTATTTCCAAGAAACAGGAAGTTAAGAAAGAACAGAACTATGTTTAACGTGGGAGGTTGTTTTAAAAAAAGAATATAGACTGGGAGCAGTGGCTCACGCCTGTAATCCCAACACTTTGGGAGGCCGAGGCAGGCGGATCACCTGAGGTCAGGAGTTTAAGACCAGCCTTACCAACACAGTGAAACCCCCATCTCTACTAAAAATACAAAATTAGCCAGGCATAGTGGTGCATGCCTGTAATCCCAGTTATTCAGGAGGCTGAGGCAGGAGAATCACTTGAACCTGGGAGGCAGAGGTTGCAGTGAGCTGCGATTGTGCCATTGCACTCCAGCCTGGGTGACAAGAGCGAAACTCTGCCTTAAAAAAAAAATCAGAAATCTGAAAGAGCTGGTCAGAATACTGGAAGAAATACTATTTGGCACCTTCATTCTCTTACCAGTTAAGGTAGCTTTTTCCTTCTCTTATTGTTTTTAACTGATGTGTGGCCAGGCATGGTGGCTCACACCTGTAATCCCAGTACTTTGGGAGGCCAAGGCGGGTGGATCACTTGAGGAGTTCAAGACCAGCCTGGCCAACATGGTGAAACGTCTCTACTAAAAATACAAAAATTAACTGGGCACAGTGGCTCATGCCTGTAATCTCAGCTGCTCAAGAGGCTGAGGCAAGAGAATTGCTTGAACCTGGGAGGCAGAGGTTGAAGTGTGCCCAGATAGCGCCCCTGCACTCCAGTCTGGGAGAGAGAGTGAGACTCCATCTCCAATAAATAAATAGTTTAACTGACATGCTTAAATTGAATATCATTTCCTCCCAACTCAAGGCATGTACTAGAAACCACATGGGATAAGCAAAGAGGTGGTGGGGAATGCGCCCCTCCACCCTGAGAGACAGGAGGTGTGGGTGTTTTCACTCTATCACATACTCACTGTGACACTGCAGAGTTACTTCTGTTTCCTAATCTGAGTGATCCGCCCCACTTATAAGAGAGGGCCAATAATCCTCAACTGGTCAAAGGCTTGTTTCCAAATCACCTTGTGTCTGGAGTTCCTGGTGAGCCTCGTGATACATGATTCTATGATTCTGTTTCAGTCTGGTTGAGTTCTTTAGCTGCAAGCAACAGAAACCAACTTTGGTTAACCTTGCCCAGTTTCCTTAATAAGACTCATAGGGCCCTTCACCTGGGCCCTGCCTGTGTCTCCAGCCTCAAATCTCTTTCAGGCACTGTGAAGCTCCAGGAATATGGTGACATCCCCCCACACCACGTGTGCCGGCCCCGTCTCTGGCCTCTCCTGCCTGTCAGTAGGTCTCAAGTAGGTAACACTTGTCCTGGGCTGCTTTTCATGACCTCCCCAGCCTGGATGGAATCCTCTCCTGGGTGCTCCAGCAGCAGCTTCCTGCACTTCCTCGTTATACCTTTGAGACTATTGTGTTATAATTTCCTGAATGCTTTCCCCTTCTGAGGCCTGGGCAGAAGGAGGCATGTCCGCCTTCCTCACGGGTAGCCCCAATACACAGTGCAGTGTCCGGCTCACAGCAGGTACGCAAAATATATTTATCGAAGGAACAGAGGAAGGGAGAGAAGACATCTCTTCTTGGATAGTGCCAGTCATATATTGGGTGTTCATTAAACACTTGTAGAACTGAATGGAGAAGCTGGAGCCCTTTAACAGGATCCTCAGAGCCTCGTAAAATAAACACAGATAATAATAGGATTTTGCCGAATATAGAACTCAGCGGCAGATTTGAAATTTGAACCATAACATCTTGGATTTGACTTCTTTTGTGCTTCTCTTGTTGAGAAAAGGGAAGGGCTTTCTTCACCCAGGCATCCACCGTGAGAACTACCCTGGAGGGTGCGGCTCAGCACCTGGTGCTGGTTAGAGGGGAACCCAGGTGGGGGCAGGGGGTGGAGAAACGGGGGAGAGACTAGGAGGGCTCCGGATAACTGCGTTCTCACAAGACCAAAGGAAGAGGAGGGGAGATCTGGCTGCGAGTGCCTTCGGAGGGGGTGCGAAGAGACCGGGCGTCCCCTGCGAGGCTCTGGAGCGCCCGGCCAGACGGGAGGCTCGTGCGCCCCGCGCCGCTGCGGCAGGACCTAGCGGTTCGCAGCCCCTGAAGGGCCTGGCCGCGCAGGGGGCAGCCAGGACAGGCGAACCCCCGCCCCGACCCCGTGTTAGCGGTCAGCAGAAAGGGCGACAGGGACCGGGGTTCCTGGCAGCCCATCTCGCCCCCGGAAGGCTCCTGGTGACTCTGGCTGGGGAGCAGGCGACGTGACCACACACCCAAGGCCTCTCTTTGTTTATTTCAAATTGCGGTAAAAAAAGACATAACATAAAATACCATTTTAGCCATTTTTTAAAAATTTTATTTTATTTTTGAGACGGAGTTTTGCTCTTGCTGCCCAGGCTGTAGTGCACTGGCGCAGCCTCGGCTCATCACAATCTCCGCCTCTCGGGTTCAAGCGATTCTCCTGTCTCAGCCTCCCGAGTAGCTGGGATTACAGGTGTGCGCCACCACGCCCGGCTAATTTTGTTTTTATTTCAGTAAAGATGGGGTTTCTCCATGTTGGCCAGGCTGGTGTCGAACTCCTGATCTCAGGGTGATCCACCTGCCTCGACCTCCCAAAGTGTTGGGATTACAGGTGTGAGCCACCGCGCTCCGCGCATCTTAGCCATTTTTTAGTACACAGTTGAGTGGCATGTGAGAGCGTTCACATCGCTGTGTGGCCATAGCCATCATCCACCTCTAGAACCTTCATCTGCCTGCGCTGCGACTGTTATTGTTCAACACTAACTCCTGGTTCCCACTCTGCTCTGTCTCTATGAATTACCTCCTCTACATACGGCATATGAGTGGAATCACACAGTATTTGTACTTTTGTGACTGGCTTATTTCACTCAGCATAATGCCCTGGTGGTTCATCTATGTTGTAGCATGCGATGGGATTTCCTTCTTTTTTATTTTTATTTTATTTTATTTTATTTATTCATTTATTTATTGAGTCTTGCTCTGTTACCCAGGCTAAAGTGCAGTGTGTGGCATGATCTTGGCTCACTGCAACCTCTGCCTCCCGGCTTCAAGCAATTCTGCCTCAGACTCCTAAGTAGCTGGGATTACAGGCACCTGCCACCATGCCTGGCTAATTTTTGTATTTTCAGTAGAGATGGAGTTTCCCCATGTTGGTCAGTCTGGTACT